AGGAGCAGAATTGAGGCAAGGGCAGTCAGAATTAGTGAGACTGAAGATAAAGCACTTAACACCAACTTATTTGAGGAAAAATCAGATAAAAGGATTTAAAAAAATGAAGAAACCCTAAGAATTATGCGGGACTCTACCAAGAGGAATAACCTACGAGTGACTGGAGTACCAGAACAGGGGGGGATAACAGAAAACACAGAGAGAACTGTTGAAGATTTGTTGGCAGAAAACTTCCCTGGTATCATGAAAAATGAGAAGATATCTACCCAAGATGCTCATCGAACCCTACATAAGGTAGATCCCAAAAGAAAAGTCACCAAGACATATTATATTCAAACTTGCCAAAACCAAAGATAAAGAGAGAATTTTAAGAGCGGCTAGGGATAAACGAAAAGTCATCTACAAAGGAGAGTCAATAAGAACAAGTTCGGACTAGTCAGTGGAAATCATGCAGGCAAGAAGGCAATGGGATGACATACATAAAGCCTTGAAGGAAAAAAACTGCCAGCCAAAAATTATATATCTAGCAAAACTGTCTCTCAAATATGATGGCGAAATTAGGGCATTGCCAGATAAAGAGAAGTTTAGGGAATCTGCAAAAACCAAACCAAACGTACAAGAAATACTAAAGGGAATCCTCCAGTTAGATCAGTAATATCGGATAACAACCCAAGACTAGAACACAGGACACAGCAACCAGATATCAACCCAGTGTCTCAGTCATCTAGCGCTGCTACAACAGAAATACCACAGGTGGATGGCTTTAACAAAGAGAAGTTTATTCTCTCACACTCCTGTAGGCTACAAGTCCAAATTCAGGGCATCAGCTCCAGGAGAAGGCTGTCTCTCTGTTGGCTCTGGAGGACGGTCCTTGTGATGCGTTGGTCTTCCCCTGGTCTGGGAGCTTCTCCGTGCAGGAACCTCTGGTCCAAAGGACGCACTCTGCTCCCAGCACTGCTTTCCTGGTGCTGTGAGGTTGCCTTGTGTCTCTGCTCACTTCTCTCTTTCATATCTCAGAAGAGATCGGATTAAGACACTCTATAATCTTGTAAAACTAATCAGCATAACCTCATCACAATGACAGAATTTACAACACATAAGGAGATCACATGTAACCTCATCAGAGTTTACAACACATAGGGAAATCACATCAGATTACACAATCATACAATACTGTAAATCATGACCTAACCAAGCTGACAGACATTTTGGGGGGACACAATTCAATCCATGACACCCAGATAGGGAAGTCACAAAACTAAATCAAAGCTAAAACACTGAAAATAAGGAAACAGATGTCAATATGTAAAAGATGACAATATTAAAACAAAAAAGAGGGACTTAAAAAATGTAGACATAGATCTTTCATATGGAGAGGAAGTCAAGGCGATATACAGAAATAAAAGACCAGTATAAACTTGGAAAAATAGGGGTAAATATTAAGGTAACCACAAAGGAAACTAACAATCCTACAAGTCAAAATAAAAAACTAGAAAAATATAAAGACTCAGCAAACACAAAATCAGCAACAATGAAAAACATGAAAAGAAAATACATAAAGAAAAATTGACTCAGCACAGAAAATTAAATGGAACAAAGCAACTGTGAGCAACACACAAAAAAAGACATCAAAATGACAGCACTAAACTCATACCTATCAATAATTACACTGAATGCAAGTAGACTAAATGCACCAATAAAGAGAGAGTGGAAGATTGGATAAAAAACCACCATCTGTCTATATGCTGCTTAAAAGACTTAAAGACACAAACAAACAAAAACTCGAAGGATGGAAAGAAATATATCAAGCAAACAACACTCAGAGCAGGAGTGGCAATATTAATCTCC